CCTTTTGGACCCTTTATTTTTAAGAGTGTAGAACGTTTTGCTTTTTAAACTGTAATAGTTTTAAAATGTTGCATCCTTTCAAGCATGTCTACACCTTTTTCATAATACTTCGTTTGAGCCCTGGCATACAATATAACACTTATGCAATTAAATAAAACAATCGGCCACCGCTCTGAATGATCTCCATCTTTATTGCCCAAGACAATGTACTGTAGTCTTATCAGGCGAGGTCCACCCATTCTCATACTTGGTTATGATTCTCATCCCATAGCAGCCTACCTCACCGACCTTTCACATGGTGGTTGCAGGCCCAATGTTGCTCATACGCACATATAGACACACAGCTGCAGGGAATAAGTGCTTGAAATGAAAACGGCACACTGCAAATCCATCTAGCTTTGCTTTAGATGATCCTCCCATGGGTTTTCAGGAGGTCTGGTCACAAGAGAGTTCAGGGAGATGACTGACAGCAAAGGAGAGCTAAGTATTCTCATTACAACCATCATCTAAAGTTTCACCCAGCATTTGAAGGATGGAGGGATGCAGGTGTTTTCGACCTGCCCAGTGAACGGACTTTAAACTTCTTACATGTCACAACAGAGAGCTTACAGAACCTTAGAACTGTAGTGGCTATTATAATTGATGACAGCCATTTCAGTGCCTCTCTTTGGACAATGGAGATGAAATAACGGCTGCCCCCAAGCGCATATTCATCTTATTAAACGTGATACCATATACTGTGTAGTCCTTCATCACAATAATGGGATTAGGAATGCTACATTCCAAACCTCTAGATTGTTCTAAACCAGGTGCGAATGGCCTTAAAGTTTGTTGAGTGATCTTGTAATTGAAGTGGACAGCCAGTGGAGTGAAAGAGGTTGACGTTAGACATCTCAGATTCATTCTTACCGGTTAATGGTTATCGTAGCCGGACATATGATTTAGGGTTAATGCTGGCCATTTTTAAATTGCAATTATGTGCTGGAGCTTTGTGACTAGTTAAGTGCCAATCACTGTAGGCAATGAAGTCTTTGTCCATTGTCCCGTGTTAAGCTTCCAGGCATTCCATCCTCAGGCATTGTTCAGGTGTTAAGTGCCTTGACATTGAAGTGAATGAACTACTGAGGGGAGAGCTTCTTTATTGTTTGAAGAGAAGAGACCATTCCTCACTGATATCAGCTGAGGGAATCATTGGTAATAAATAATAAAACAAAGGATGGTGCAGGCTGAAAGCAAACCTGGTGAAAAAGAGTGAAGCCATTAAAAGCTGTGGGGCGTGAAGAAAGACTAATTGCCACCTGCGAGCGTGTGCTTGGCAGAAAACTGCAAATAAACGGCCTGTCACACGCGGGGCTGCGATGCTGACCCCACATTTCCTGGAAGAAACCCAGTTCTGAACAAATTTTAAGATTTTAGAACATTTCAATGAGGAATACGTTTTTTTGTGCACTTAACAATACATACAAGGTCGGTTTTCAGTTTATCCATAATTAAAATCACATTATAATTCATTACATCACTCTTGATGTTACATTCATATCAAATTTAGATTAATCTGTATTGTACACATTTCACAGATCAACACAAAGTTTGCATATTAGCCTCAACCTTTCACAGAACTGGAAGGTACCTTTGGAAGGTACAAGTTGCTGGACTGAGTACTTCTAAGGATAAAATATTCATTCAGTTTCCCAAAATCTGAGAAGCTCGTGCCATCAAATCCATTTGCAGACCACTAATGTTGTATAATTATTTTAATAAGTTTTATCTAAAATTCTATCTTAAATTAAATCTAATTAGAATAAAATGGCATTAAAATACCACTAATAATACCTAAAATCCTAAATGTATTCATTGTGTGCATAGTACATAGTTTAATAAATTGGATTGTTTGATAAATTAAGTAGAGAAAGTCTAAAGATAAGATGGATGGATGGATAGATACATAGGTAGATAGATAGATAGATAGACAGATAGATAGTAGGGCTGCACGATTATAACAAAAATCATAATTGTCGATTATTCCCTTGAAATTGTAATTGCGATTATTAATTACAATTAGCACAATTTACATTGAATGATGTTTATACCATTGTTTGATGCAACTGCATTCCGTATTTTTATATGAAAATAAACAAGCTGAAAACACTCTAACTGAAAAACTTTTAGTGCTTTTCTATAGTATTAAGCCTCAAATGTCAACTATACATCGGATTGGTTTCTTCTTTAAATTATTAAAAAGTAAAAATATGAATGGTATTATAGTGTTATACTAAAATTAAAACAATGGAAAAACCCTTAAGATAACATGTAGAAAGAAAAAAAAGCATCTTATATCAGAATCAGAATAAAATCTTATCAGAATAACATAAGTGGACTTTGAACGATTAATTGCTGCTTTGAACGACTATGTAATTGTGGCATCCATAATTGTAATCGCGATTAGAAATTTGATTAATTGTGCAGCCCTAATACATAGATAGATAGATAGATAGATAGATAGATAGATAGATAGATAGATGCCAATATTCAAAAGCCTACTTGAATGCCTTGTTCAAAAAAAAAAAAAAAGAGGCCAGTGCTCCTTGCCAACACAAGCTGGCTAAGGATAAATGAGCTCTAGAATGAACCAGTGAAGTGCAGCTGGGTCATTAGGGCAGCGTGATATCTGAAACTTATTGAGTGCTGCGGGTTCCCAGACTTTACCAGCAAACTGAGAGCAATTTTCATAATGAACATGTGAGGGGGAAGCAGGTGTGAATCGCATTTGAAAATCAAGAATAATGAAAACTCGATCAATTTAAGCCTACAGGCCACCCACACTTTGGTAGAAGCCGATAAACAGTAACCCTCTGTAGCTTCTCATCTAGAACCATATCGCTTGAGTCTCTAAGTTCAGGTCAGGTATCCACCACACATCTATTGCTGGACAAAGCATCCTTTCTTTTCCCAACTGCAGGGAAAGCAGGACTCCCATGGCCAATGCTTCCAGAGTCTCATTAAGCCATCAGCAGTGGGGCCGATAGAGGTGTAACCTCTCCGGTTTGACCCCATGGCTTTATCCCCCACACCTGGAGCGGACCACACAGGGCAAACAGCCAGAGTGAGCGAGGCAGCCAAACTTGTGATGATTTCAGATAACCACCGCTGATGAGAATGAGCGAGTATATTAGCAAGCTCTGGAAGTACTAACCAAATAACACATCTTAGGGTGGGACGAGGTCATACGCATCCACCAACATCGATGCACACCCACAAAAACACTCTCTTTATTCCCTGAGGTAACCTGGAGAGAAGGGGGGGGGGTTCAAAGCAAACCGGAGGGCTTGTAATCCTAGCTAAGCATGAGATCTCTCTTGAAACACAACCACAAAAGAAAGCGAAGGGAGGGGGAAAACCTGAGGCTAACCCAAGCAGCAAGTCAGACAACAATAAAAAGTCGACAGCCTATATTTAACTGTGGTGGGAATTTGGTGAGGAGTATACAGGAACACTTTGAATGCATGATGAAGGTCAGCTGGGTCTGCACTTCCTCAGCAGACTGCGCAGCGAGTCCGCTCAACTGTTTTCTCCCCCCAATGTCGACGGACAAGAAGGGAGATAAGCATTGTTTCCCAAAACAATGGGCCACTTCCAATAGCCACAGACTCTCAGAGATTGGCACTCGCGTACTGTGTGTGAAAGTAAGAAAAGCTGTTGAAAGCTCTAGAAACGGAAGGTTGTGAGAAAAAAAGACATTTCTTGGCTTTAGGAATGAGCAGATAGACTGCGAACACTCCAAACAAACAATGGCGAGTGGTTTTGTAGCTTCAGTTTACCAGCATTCATCAAAACATAACGCAAGGGTGGCGATCTGGATGGTTTCAATTTTTTGTGAGATTTATGTGAGATTCAAGTAGAACTGCAAAGCCAGACATTTGAATACTCGCATTAAGGTGGTGCTCTATCTATCTATCTATCTATCTATCTAATTCAGAAATCCAAAAATGGCTGTTTTTATGAGTGAGTCATTGAATCATTCACTCAAGCAGTTAATTCGAAATTAACTAAGGGACTCTATTTATGAGTGAGATCAACATCAACGCTCATGTGATATTGCTTAAACAGCACTAAAAATCTACACTAGAAATGTAACCTCAAAGTTGATTTCTGTTTCATTAAATTTAGTGCTACTTTAATAGTTCATTTTTCATCCAGATTGCTCTCTATACATCATGCCCATCCACTTTCTGCACTGGCAAGCATAGGAGAACATTGTGCCACACAGCTGAGCTCGTCATATCTCACTCCAGCCATCCCACTCAAGGCTTGATGAGGTTTCATCACTGTTTTGACCATACATCAAACATCCAGCAATGAGCATTTCAAACAGCATTTTGTGTTGAAGCCATGATCACAATTTTATCCAAGCCTATATGCATTTCAGACTGAAGATGATTTCAATGCATTACTGATTGATCTAAAGTGCAACAAAGCCTATAGTTTGAAAAAGAGGTCACTGAAATATTTGCTTTCTGTGCCGATATAGTAAAAAGATTAACCTTTTGATGACTTGGTGAACTTTGTGAATAGGGGCCTGAATAGGATATCGGTTTTCTGATAAGGGAGTCATAAAACTACAAAGACAGGGCTCATTTGAGTCAACTTTTCATCAGATCATGAGATTTGACACAAAATGGCCTTTAAGAGGCATTCAATGCAATGCATCTGATTTATGTGAGGCTTTCACAATGCTTTGAAAAGAACAGAGTGACAGAATGAAACAAGGAGAACTTCCAGAGCTTTGAGGCTCAAGTGAAAGTCAAGTGCTTCTTGAAACTAACAAAAGGTTCTTAGTCATGCAAATGCTGCATGAATCAAAACAGTTCCCTGAAAGATAACATTATAAGCCTAAATAAGTACTAAAAATGCTACAAATAGCAAAGCAACTGATCTCCCCTGTCTTGGATGTCTTTGTTTGCTTTGCAAAGGCACTGAAATTATGTTTCTCACTCACTGACCTTAAATGAAGCAGGGTCGGACAGAGCGAGGGCTTGTCTCCTCAGTTCCGCAATAGTCATCTGACATTGCTTGCACAGATCTGGCTTAGTCTCGTCCCTGTCGGATTCAGAGATGCTCACGGCTCCTGCGCCTTCAGGTGGGGGTCTGCTGGCACACCTTTCCTCCTCCGCTGACAATCTCTTCCTCGGGCTCAGCTCAAGAGAGAGTGAAGACTCTCCGCTCGAACAGCCTTCCACCTTTATGAAAGACAACAAAATCAAGATGCAGAAAGACCCCATATATATAACATCTGTCAAAAACAGCTAATTATAAATGTAGAACATCCAGATTACAGTTAACTGCATATTACTTATTGTTTATTATATTAATAACAATTCTATGTAGCTTTACTTTTTTTAATATACACGTAACATAAAAGTGTGATTTCACTTTCTAAACTTGTTGCAAATTACTTAACAACAATGCACAAACAGCAAGCTTGGGAATCCAAATAGAATTGCTGTAACTTCTCAGCATCAGCTGTTTATTAGAGGACTTACAGTTGACCGGCTGATCTGGAACTCTCCTTGCGCATTCCCCTGTGTTAAATCCATCATCTCGGGATAAATGATCAAAACGCGGACATCTAGTGCAGTTTATTGCGTTTCTATTTGTCTACACACATTGATTAGGAACACAGTTCATGGATAGTCAGTGGGAGCGCAAAGGAAAAAGCATAACTCAATTCCCGTGAAGTTTTGGTTTGCTTTAGTTCCATGACGACGCGCGTAAACGTGAGTGCAGTTTTACTGCTGTCAATGTGCGCGGCTCGGTCACTTGGTTGGAGGGGTGGAGCTGCAGCATTCAATAGATATTCAGACACTGTTATGCTGTTTCAGAGAGTTTAGACTGCGTTTGCACAAACAAAACGTGAAAATAAAGTTGATTTCAATTAATTAGCGAATTGACAGTTTAATGAATGCTGTGTTTTGTAATAACGGGTGTGCGTTAAAGAACTGAGTAACTCATGTAAACTAATCAAAATGTTCAGACTGTATAAAATCTTCATGTACTGCATGTCTGATATACAACGTTTCATAATTATTATATATTTTTTTTGTATTATTGTAATGGTAACTCATCTTACCAATTTGTATGTCTGATAAAAAGACAAATAAAAAAAATGCTTCCAACATAAATTACGTCATCTTTTATGTTACAGTTCACTTGTATCGACTGTGAGATTACGGGTCTGTTGGAGTCTTTTGCTTATTACTCTGGCGCCACCCTCTGGTATTTGACTTAACTGTATCTTACAAACTTCTCGGTGTGCAATAAATTGTGGGAATGTTTGAATATTTAATTACTCATCTTTAAATATTTTATGTTGATGATGTATATGCTGGGCTCACGTGACATTAAATTGCAACCCAAATACTGTCAATCTCCTGCTTCAAAAAAAAAAAAAGTCCTTTGTCTGTGACAGCGCAACTAGTCCAATAAACTACCAATAACGGACCGTTTAACGTGGGCGAATAAAACTGCAAAATCTGCTGACAGAAATTTTTTTTTTTTTTTTGTGACCGTCTATAATTTTTGTAGAGTCTAAACTCATAACTTAATCTCTAAAAGACTGTTTCAGAACCTTTATTTGAACATTGTTGTGTGTTTTATCTGCACCTTAATAGTGGTTTATTGACACATCAGACTGATGTTGTTTTTGGCTTTAATTCTTTCTTATTTTTATGTTTTAGACGGAAAACTTCAACTTAGTTGTAGTACATTTTTATAACTGAGTTGAATTGCTGAAATCTCATGATCGCTGAAAAACTAATCGAGTACAAAGTTCACTATCGGATGAAAAATGTTCAAAATGAAGGGCTTTATCTGATGTACTTACTGTATTGTAATGTAATGTATTTTGGATGTTTTTAGGGAAGTTGCTAAAAGCGCCATTGATGGATGAGAGCTGTTCGTGGTGCTGAAATGAACAAACCGCTACACATTATAACCAATGAAAACTTAGTATTCATATTTGCGAACCCCAAAATATCATAGCCTTTAAATAGTACAATATTTTTTAAAAAGGAACAACCCACGTGTAGTCTAATGAGCTCTACATGCGTCAACTTGTGGAGTCTTTTGTCCGTTCTCAAAGGCTTACCTTGGCTTTTCGCTTTAAAAGATGACTAGTAAATCCAAAAATGATGTCAGCGTCCACGAAAAACGTCCCCAAGTCAATCAGGCTGGGCTTCTGCTTGTCCGACTCAGATGACCCATTAGAGTTTTGTAAATCCATCGTGCAGCTGCGGATATATTTCCTCGCCCAGTTTACAGTAAACATACAGAAGTCATCGCAGCGCTCTGGAGTTCCGAGTCATTTTACAGATGGTTCTCTCTGATTCCAAAGCAGTGTCATGGTCTTATATCCAGAGGTTCCCTCTCAGGTACATCCAACTGTTGACTCATTTAGATCGTCCGGTTTCTGTTCCAAATTACTTGCCGCATATAAAATCATACATCCAAATGTTGACACTCGTAAAAGCACGCAAGAACCCCATACAATCCATAAATGATCCATGCGCTCCTGGCATACCTCCTTGTGGGATAGGCTGTCCACGCCTTGTCTTGTCTACACTGCAAGTCTAGGAGTGAACTCGCGCGAGCCTGTTGAGGAGACTACCTTGAACAACTCCACCTCCGTCTCGCCCTCTCGCCCTCTCTCTCTCT